AAACCAAATAGCTACTTCACTTACTATACAATTACTTTTACACATTAATAAGCAACTATACACCAATATCTGGATACATACTGTAGTTCAAGACCACAACCCCAATCTGTAAATACCTCACCTTCTATGTCATCAGCAAACATATCTAATTCCCTACTTATAGCTAATTCTTTACACAACACCTTATTATCAGTTTTAGCAACAGCACCAATTAGTAATACTAACTCGCTAAAACAACTATCGATCAGCATCTCCACCTCTCTAAATCAACCATTGATTAGCATCACTATCTCATCATTCACAAACTTTAGATAATAGACAATGAGCTAATGAAAGTTACAGTCAAAGATCACCTACTTCAACTAATAAATATTCTTACAGTAGAAGATCATCTTTTTAAACTAATGAACGTTCTTGCAGTCAAAGATCACCTTCAACTAATGAACATTCTCATAGTCAAAGATTACTTTCTCCAACTAATGAACATTCTTATAGTCAAATATCACTTTCTCCAACTGAACATTCTTGCTGTTGATCAAGAAGCCCCGATGCAAAAGATCAAGATAACTATATATATATATGTATTTATGATCAAACTATTGACTTACCAATATATCTAACAAAAATTTTATATATTAATAGAAATTGCTTTTTTAAAAGACAATATACAAGATTTGATTAATGAAGTTAATAAATTAAAATCTGTTAAATCAAATAATCCACCAACACAAAATGATCTATCAACACAAAATAATCTACCAACACCTATTGATGTCAATAATCTTGGTGCATTGGGAACAACTAGGCTATCATGCCTAATGAATAATATAGATTTTTTGGATAAAAATAATAGTAATACAACTAATTCTAATAAAACTGCTAAAATTAATAGAGTTGCTCAAGATAATTCAAATACTACTACTATCACTCCCACTGGCCCTAATAAGAAAATAGGTAAAAAAAAAAGGAAAGTTTTTATATTATCCCTGCAAATAATCAAAGGCTTTCTGTCACTCTGGAACCTCCTACCAGATATAATAGAAGTTTACGTGAATGTCTAGAAGAAATGACACCTGAACAATATAAGCTCTTTCATGTATGTGAATATAATATTATTATTATCATTATAAATTATTTTATTTTAAAATACTAATATTATTATTATTATTAATTTATCATTATTTTTATATACTATCATTATCTATTATTTGATTTTTACTATTATTATCATTATTATTTTTATTTAATAAGACAAAGTATTTAATATTTTAAGTGGCTTAGATGATGCTCTTCAACTCAATCCAAACAAAAGATAAACAAAATTTCTCAGCACGTGATTAAAAAAACTATGTCAGCGATCAAGGTGGCTTTGAAGAGTTGTTTTAGATACATAGATACTGAGCTTAAGTATATACTCCAACAACTTCACTATCACTAACATGAAAAAAATTAAATAGACCAGGATCTAGAGAAATCAAAGGCTGATAAGAAAAGAAAAAGAGTGAATAGTTAATAATCAGAAGTAGGTATTAAAGTTTTTAAGCTTTTTTTATAGGAATATTAGGTTGTCAATATTAATTATAATAATTTTATTAATAGAAAAAAAAGGCGAATTTGGTGTGTTAATTATATGGTTAATACAAATGATAGTTATCTTAGACAACTTGCACCTGATATAGATTTTGACGATTTTAAAGCTAATCTTGAGAATATAATTAACAGTGGAGGATTTCATTCTGATGAATTTTCTGAAACAGATATAGAGTGAACAATATCTGAAAAACAGTTAAAAATACGGCCTAAGGACAAAAAAGATAATCATATAATCCGTGTCTATGATAAGCTATAGAGTTTGTGTAGAGTAAGTAAATATTTTATTGTTAAACTTTTTTTTTAATTTTTTTTTTTTAATCTCTTAGATAAATTATATTTCGTTATATTTTTTAGATTTATTTATTAATTTTTTTTTTTATTCTATTGATATTAGGTTAAAAAAAGTTTATAGTTGGCTGACGAAATAGAAAAAAGAATCTTTCATATAAAATAGTCAAGGAAATGTTGGTATAAAGATAATAAATAGGTGGACAAATCAAAATCTCCAATTGATGTACTTGATTGGAGAATTTTTGCTTCTTACATTTCTGATAAAGACAAAAAAGAAGAAGTAATTGCATCTGGTAGTAGTAGTAACAGTACTGGTAATAACAATAATATAAGTGAATGAACCACTAATAATGCTGATAAACCAATTGATGAAGCCCATGACTCAGTTGACGATTATAATAATGCTCAAGACAATGAAGTTAAAAACAATTCGAATAAAACCAATAGCAATAGCAGTTCTGTTAATCAAAGCTGATGTACTTTGTCTTAGAGATATGAGTCTGATTTATATTTGAACATTGACTTTGCTTATCATTGAAGTTTTTGGACTCATTATAATATTGCTATATTAAGACTTCAATCTAATAGTACGATAGGTAGAACAATTATTCAGGAAGCGATATTGAATAATTAAATAGAATTTTGAATTAGCTTTTTTTTATATAGCTTAGATATTGCTTTTTGTTTAATAAACAATACTGTATATATTATTGCTATGATCTATAATTGTTCAATTTAAAACTATACTTCTAATAAATATAATGCAGTAATATAAATAAAAACAATTCTGCAAATACATATATATTTATAATCATAAACTATTAAATAGGCTTACCAGTATGCCAATAAGCTTATTATAAAAACCCAGTGTATTTCCAGTTTTATTTAATGTAGTAAAAAATAATATACAAATTGGGTAATCATGGGTTAATCGATATGAATATGATCAGTACTATATAAATTACCAAATAGTGCTCTATTTTTTTAGTAATATTAAAAAAATAAGATACAAATTGGGTAATTGTCAAATAACTGATATGATTATGATTCATATCTTATATATTTTCTAATGGTGCTATATTTTTAGATAATATTAAAAAAAAATAAGATACAAATTAGTTAATAATCGGTTACCAATATAATTAAGATTTGTACCTCATATATTAACAAACAGCACCCTATTTTTGAGTAATATTATAAAAAATAAGATACTAATCGGTTAATGTTTAATTAACTGATATAAATATGATATGTACTATATAAAGTACTAAATAGTGTCCTATTTGCACCAAAGATCTGTTTATAATCAGAAACTAATCAGATACTTTTAGGCAAGCTTTGCCAGTAAACTAGCATATTTTTATAATACAAAAATAGGAGTCCTATCAGGAACTCGATAGTTAACTTGTATAAAATCATTTAACTTGTGTAAGTAGTTTTTTTTTTTAATATTTAAAGAAAAGCCTTGCTCTTATTTTTATTAGATTTAACAAATATAATTTACATAGTCAGAAAAAGTTTTAACTCTTAAAATTATATAAATAGTTATATTAGAAATGCTATAATAAATTTTTTTTTTTTTTTTTTTTAATGTTAAAGGTGAGACCATGTTCTTATCTTTATTAGACTTAATGAAAACTTTTTACATAATTGAAAAAGGTTTTATAGTTTAAGACTATTGCTAAGAA